ACGCTGCCGGCCAGCCTCTGCAACGCTCCAAAAGGTTAATTTTCCGTGTCCCAAGATGGTCGTCCGGCAGCCGCAATCACGGAGCGGGGAAGCGCAATTTAGCAATTGTTGTAGAGATCAGTAAAAAAATATGGAATGCATACCCTCCTAGCATCCATCAGGTAGGGATAAGCATTCTTTGCAGTCTATATGCCCATCAATATCAACACATGTAGCCATTTGCAGGCAGTCGCATCCTTTCGAAGATCAATCTGGCCTTCGTCAGGCACCAGCTTTCGCTCTCAGCACACAGCCACTGTTGGTGGGCTTCGAGGCTGCTCGCATCTTCACCCTCCACAGGCGGGGCAGCCCCGGTCTGTAAATGTAGAATATGAATATGGCAGGTATTATTTGATAACACTTTATGTTTTGGCCGTGTAAAGAAAATCTGCATTCCATTTTCTAACATATCTGTTATGAAATAACAAGGTCAGGTGGAACGGCTCGAGTTCGCTGACTGAAAGACAGAGGGCTTAGCCTGAACCAATATCCTAGCAGCCTTCGATATTGGTGTGGGGGGAGAGAAGGCTGAACCTCTAAAGATGTCTTCAAATGATTCTCTAATTGCTTAACTCCAAAGTTTCAGGCTGCTGCACTTTAACGTTCTGAACTTTTTCCAACATATATTTGCGCTGTCGCTAACCATGTTCCATTTGCCAATTTTTTACACGCCCCTTCTCCTCCAATCAGAACAGCACGAGGGTCCGCCGTGAACAGACTTGGCATCATCGTGTGTCATATATCCCCGATGATTGCCTTCCCCACTAAGATGCATTAAAGCCAAGGCTCGAGCACAAGCTCATAGCATCGCTAGATGGTCGCACTGCACGAACCCTCGTGCAGCCTGAGTATCTACTAATACTGGTAAAAGCGAGCGAGTTGAAAATGAATACTTAAAATCGAAAGAATAAAGCGCGAGGGACAAGCCCAGGACAACCACGTAAAGCCTGGTTCAAACAGTTGCGTTTGACCGCGTTGCGGCTGCGAGAAACCAGGACATCCCTGCTGCTTATATCGCGTGCCAAGATGATTCTTTGAATTGGAATCCACGCTTCATATGAAGCACAGATGTGCCGGTGACTCGTTTTCGGTTCTAAACGCAACGCAGACAAACACACTCAAACGCAAGTGTCGGAACCGACCTTTACGGTACAGGCTCACAGTAAAGCTGTGAGCCCGAACCGTCTCGCACGTCTAGCCTTCGCTTTAGTACATCTCAGGATGAGACGGAATGTATCATAATAGAACCGATGTGGTCTCACCATTCTGAGCAGAAGTGCGTGAGTAACCGATGATATTTTCGTGGTCGCTTGCACGTAAACAACCAAGGAGCTTGTACACAACGCCGGCATTCATCTGGCTTGAAAACAACTTGAGCGTTGGCTTGGCTTGGATGTCAGCTGCCCATTGTGCTTACTTGAACTTCACGAAATCCTCTAAATTGAGCAGGCTGCTTCTTGACTTCTGCTGTCGGCGCTTATGTCTGCAATTCGGCGGTTTCCGAGTTCGACGATTCGGAAATCATGGGTGTACCACCGCAACACCCTCTTAACACGATTTCGGTAGCCGTAGGGTGTAAAAAGGATGTACGAAGGGTGTAGGCCTTTCCGTACACCCTTGAATATTCAAAAATCATGTAAAAATGGTGTAGGAAGGGTGTGAGCTCGGAAAAACACCCTTTTAACACGAACATGGGTGTTGAAATTTTTAGTGTGTAGGTCTTTGGCACTTTCCCATAGCTTTTTTCGAATTCGTTGCACTTGTGGGGAAAAATCTTCCGAAATGCTATAAGCCGAACCCTTCAATAGCCGGCAACTGCTAAAAATTTTAGTTTTGTCCCTAGTATCGAGTACTTTAGGAGTGATTGGCCTGGTTTTGTTTGGATTTTTCCTGTCCAGTCGATGTATTCTTTCTCAGCAGTTTGAAATTTCAGGATACTTTCAAACACATCTTTCTTCACAAGGTTTTCAAGAAAGGTGCTATTCTCATCCGCTGTTTCGTGAATTCCGTACACAATCAAATTATTACGTCTGCTCCGGTTTTCTAAGTCGTCAATTTTAGCCGTTAGAACGTCGACATTCCTTTCCAGACACAAGATCTTATCCTGCAAAGCCGTCACAGTTGCTGTCAGCTTGGTCAGGGTGCCCACTCTTTGTTCGATTGTGGTCAGTCTCCCGTTCGTTTCTGCAATTAGTGAGTCCGTCACAGCCTTCCCTTCTTTTATATCTTTAACGTCTCTGGCGATTATTCGCAGCTGCTCCATAAGCTGAGCCATGTCGGGTCCAGGATTACACTTAACTTCACCGCTCAGCACGAGAAGCACACTAAATACACTCCTACAAAGGCGAATAACATCGCACAATGGCCGTGGGCACGGCAACTCGAACAGACAAACACCATTGCTACTAGAGCAGTGATCGTAACGTTCGTCTCTTGCCTGGACGAAAAGAGCGAAAGGATTGTTTAGACGCATAGTCCTGGTGGAGTCGCCGTGCGCCACCATCAATGTTCGATGGAAATAAACTCTTTATTATTATTATTATTATTACATCAGGACCCATTCAACTAAACTGTGCAACCTTTTTTCACAATGGCTATTCACAATGGCCGCTGAATTTAGCGGGGTAATTTACCCATAATGCACCGCCCGTTTAAGCCAAAGGCGACGTCAACGCCGTACAAGCCGGAAACGGGCGCCTAAGGGCTGCTCTCTAAAACCAAATGTACCCTCCTCGTAAAAAAACAAAACAAAATGTAATTTGGTTATTGTTGTCTTTTTTTTTCGACTTAAAAGGTTCTTACTTTTCCCACACCAGACTTAGGTGTTACATTAGGACTAATGATCACCAGCTCACCTGCACACTCAATTATTTCGTTAAAGGGGCAGTCAAGTGGTTTTTGAGTTTGTGTTTTGATAATGACAGCTGAATTTAGACGCCTTAAGTATCCCTAAAAACCAAAAAGTATATTCATACGGTGATTATTTCTTTAATAAAAATGTAATTGAAGGCCGCCAAACCTCGGATCCATCCGAAAACGAAACCACTCTCATTGGTCGTCGCACGCTTATCAAAAGGATCTCGGGCCAATGGCGTTGGACGACGTTCCGTCGCGCAGTGATCCCGAGGTAGCCGCATCGGCCGAACCTCTTTGTCATTCGAGCTTCGATCATGGCGGTGTTCTCCACGCTCGAGGACCTGACGCCGTTAGAGGTTGAAGTTCTTCAGCGGACAGCCGACCTGGGGATGATTTCCTATGACGCCACTCCGACGTGCGATGTGGACGATAGCAGCGCTTCGGAGTCATGTTCGGGTTCCGAGGACGACGAAACGCAGACCTTTTCGGGCGTTCTTCGATTTGCGGTTGGGGCAAGTCGCAACCAAACCAACGTGTGACATCGCAGCGTTACCTCTGGTACGTGATGTCAAAGGATGTCGCCACGTTGACTTTCGCCTCGGGAGAACGGGGGGAACGCTGGTTCAGACATGTGCAACGAGCGCGTACCTACGACTGCGTCCGTTGCAACCGGAGCGACGGGAACGACCGCACTGCGCCGCGCGTACACGCACCTGTAACCACTACAACAAGCGCAGCGGGTCGTCAGCACGGCGACCGCTTCTGTGCGCCGCCGTCAGCTGTGTCATTGGCCCCTCTAAAAAAGGGGACGCACTGCTACTCAATGCCGTAGCAGAATATAGACAGACAGTTTTCTAGTCTAAAGCTTTATTATTTTTTCTTGATAGGCTTGCAGGGTACAGCGAATGAAAAAAAAATAAAATAAAAAGATGCAGCGCCGTCTTGGACGATCACGACTCTAATACACGACATTGCAATAGTACAAATATCGCCACACGCCTTTTCTACGATTATAAAAGACAATGTAATCTTAACAGCGATATAGCAACGTAGAAATATGATTTCGTGATCAGAAAGACGTTGCGAGCGTTCAGGATTGCTAACACTAATCACTTTTCTCCGGTGATGAAAACGCGTGAAAATTCGTATCCTTTATACGGTACGCGCCAGTAATACCTTGAACTTGAGCACACGCATCAAATGCGCCAAATCAGAAATCCGGGCGATGTTCGAGGACACAAATGCTTAGAAAGCACCACTGTAGTCCAAGTAAACAAACACGACGGCACGGGCGTTTCTGCTTTCTTGAGAGTGCCGCCACGACATCGCCGCACGAGTAGGTGGATGTTCCCTTCTAGTACGTGCTGGGTTATCATAGCGAAACACGACGAAAATTCACAGTCAAGGATAGCGCTTTTACGCGGAACGATGAGCTTTCACCAGGCCGTCCATTCCGACGATCACCACCGACGCCACATTTGCGGATAGAAGGAGCCGGCCGGCCCGCGACCGGCACGACCGGCCTGCAACGCGCGGAGATACGTGCGCTTCAGCGCATCCCTGGGGAACGGGAAATTCACCCCCCGCGGAGGAAGGGAAATAGAAAACGTAGTCCCTTGTTTGTGAAACGATAATTTCGCTATCGCGTATTCTAAACTAGAAATATTTTACGTCTTGTGAAATTATCATGCACAACATATTTAAATGAACTGAAAATTGTTTTTTTAGCGAAACTTTAAAAAGACCGCCAAAATTTTCAAACATACGATAATTTCATTGGTCCTCGCAAGTACAGAAAAGAGTCCGCACGTATTTTATTCCTGCGTGATTAATAGACGTTTCTGCCTTCTAAAACTGAAGATACTCATTCACTGACACTTCCTTAACACCATCGCACCAAAAAGTAGCTTCTCCAAAAACCGCTTGAGTGTCCCTTTAAGGTATTGCACGGACTATAATCCGAGAAATATAGTACTACGAGCCATTTAATGCCCAAGTGCTAGAGGGGGTAGGAAAACAAAACCCGCGGTGTTAACAGAACTGCCGATCCCTGGCATCCATACTGCTCACGCTGCCGGCTCGACGTTGCCCGCAGGTTCCCAGGAGAAGCGGGAGTTCCTGAAGCGGCGCTTTCCACAACTGCAGGACCGCAACTTTGCAAGCTCTCGGGACCTGTCCTTCGAAGAGCACATCCTACGCGAGACCGAGGGCAGGGGTGAGTCGGCGTTTTGCGTTTGCCCCGCACCTAGACCCCAGGCCTCGACGGCCCTCCCTTTTCCCGCGTTATACCGGACGAGAAGACGGTGCGAGAAAAAAGACTACATCCGGGAGCTCGCGGGAGTTGGCCAAGAGCACACTCGTGCACACCCAGGGGTGGACCTGGTGCTGAACTCGCTGGCCGAGGAGAAGCTGCAGGCGAGCGTGCGCTGCCTGGCCACCCGCGGTCGCTTCCTGGAGATCGGCAAGTCCGACCTGTTCCAGAACAACGCCCTGGGCATGGCGGTGTTCCTCAAGAACGTCAGCTTCCACGGCATCCTGCTGGGCGCCCTGTTCGGGGACGACCCCCGGGTGGCGGTGGACAAGCGCCGGGTGATCCAGCTGGTGCGCGAGGGCATCGCCTCGGGCGCGGTGCGGCCCTTGGACGCCGTCCGCTTTGTCCGGGACCGCGTCGAGGACGCCTTCCGCTTCATGGCCTCCGGCAAGCACATGGGCAAGGTGGTGCTCGAGGTGGGTGCCCCACGCCGCTCGCCAGATAGTTCCGGCCAGTGTTGCCGTGGCGCTTTCGTCCCATTTGTCGCACGAGGACTGTATTGGGACACGTTGCAAGCACACGTATGAAACAGACATTTTGCAACATACTTGAGGCGCCTCTGCAGAGAATTCTGTTGCATCCGCAGCAAGTGTCTTTTTGCACTCGGTCGCAAGCATTGACAGTTCGGACTACTTGCGACCGAGTGCATTATGACTAGGATTCCGTGTTTTCGGTGATTATCTCTTGTGAATTTCGAAAGGTGTTTTTCGGAGGTTATTTTTTGCTGGGGATGCGGGGTTTATCAGAGTTTATTTTTGTTAGATTACGCATTCTTTGAAATTCGGAGTTTATTTTACTGCGTAAAATAAGAAACATGAAAATTCAAGAGCAAAATAAATAAGGTCCGGGTACCATCACGCGTTGTTTCAAAGGATCGTCGAAGTGCTAAAAGACCAACACCTTTTGTCAGTAATTCTAGATTTCAAGGGCAACTGAAGTGGAATCCTCTCAAGACCACTGGCACTGTGCTTTTATGAAGTTTAGTTCCAAAGCTTGCCACGCGAAACCATGGCGCATGCGCACTTGCGATCAATCTTCACCATTAAATTGCAAACGCTCCCCGTGGCTTGAGATGGATCCTCTCTACTTCTAGGTCCTATTCTAGTCATAAGAGAACACGGAAGGTTGTAATGCACTCGGTAGTAAGTAGTGTGTGAAGCGACGTTTAGACTACACAATAGTGCACAGTGCGCTCGGCTGCAACTCAACTCGAGTGTGTGAACCAGCCTATAGAGTGAATTCGGAAGATGGCCGTTGTGTCGCGTTTTGATCCGCACTGGAGCGCCGCCGTTTTCTGCGTTGCCTGACTTGTTTTTGCCACGTTCCACGGACGGTCGGAGTCACTGCTGACTGCAACCAGGTAAAGCTCTTCGATGTGTCAAAAGCTCTTTCAGCGTCAAATCTGCCAGTGCACGCTGCCCGTGGCTCGTGCGGCAAAAGGAAATGGCGGTGAAGTTATGAAATGAGCCACCCTTGGATGCGAATGGCGACTGAGCATTCGTTGGTGCCGCGCGTTTTGAGCAACAATAATAACAATGCTCTACTTTCTTCGTGCCCCGGAACGACTTCGCGATTTTCGGTACTTGAAAAGAATTATTTTCGGTACTCGAAACAAACGGGAAGCGTGAATTTTGCCGAGAGGCCTAACGTCCGAACGCGTCCTCTCCCAGGTGCGGCCCGAAGAGCCCCAGCGGCAGACGATGGCGGCCACGCCCCTCTCGGTGGAGGCCCACGCGCGCACCTACTTCTTCGAGGACAAGAGCTACGTGGTGGCCGGGGGCCTGGGCGGCTTCGGCCTGGAGCTGGCCGACTGGATGGTGGCCCGGGGCTGCCGCAGGCTCCTGCTCACGGCCCGCTCGGGCGTCCGCATGGGCTACCAGCGCCTCTGCCTGCACCGCTGGCGGCTGGCCGGCGCCAAGGTGGCCGTGAGCCGAGCGGACATGGCCACCGAGGAGGGCGCCAGGGCGCTGCTGCGGGAGGCAGCCGCCCTCGGTCCTGTGGGCGGCATCTTCAACCTCGCCCTGGTGGGTGTCGCCCGGCTGCGGCGAAAGCGTCGCACTCTTTTTGAAATGTGGTGTCATCTGGTGGCTCGAAAAGCAGTTTCGCTTTTTCGCAAACTAATGGCAGTCGCGAAGCTGTATTTGGTCGAGCATCGTCACTTTCGCGTGTCAGTGGCAGACGAGAACTGGTTCTTCGATCGAGGGACTTTTTCCGAGTGGCGAGTACCTTCGGGGGTGTCGCCTGCGAACTACAAATGAAGAGCATCCCAACTTTGCCCCAGCGTTATTCCCTCCATCAGAACACACACTATAAGAAAAGAAATGGAGGAATAAGGTAGCAATGGCACGTTTTCCTCCCTTCTAGTGATGCGTCCCCACGCGGACATCAGAAGAAGGGGGAGCGAGCAACACCTCCTAGAAGACAAGGCCGTAGCGCTCTTCTCGGGACGTCGCAAAGGAAGGCCATTACGGGCGCGCGTCGAAACGCCGGAGCGAAGGTAACGCACGTGGATCCACCGTCGCAGCTGCGCTTTTTTAATGCGAAAGAATTAAGTGCCTCATGGAGCGAGCTGACGTCATCAGTTTGAAGCGCGAAAACGGCTCCTAGTTTCCGCCGCGATCCTAATAGGAGCGATTCGTCTTCGGTTTCATTGACTGGAGCGCGTCGACGGGGCTCCCATTGGCCGCTGCGCCATGGCCTCCAAGATCCCGAAGCGCGCGCGCGCGATAGTACGCAGCAGACGACAAAGGGAGCGGACGAGCAGACGACAAAGGGAGCGGACCAGCGGCTTGCATGCTTTCGCATTCACAACTCATAAGAAGTGCTTAGGTGTACCCCGAGCTTTTTAGTCACACAAGCGTTTTTAAGTAGCTATATTGCCACTGCGCTCACAATCTAAGCTTGGAAGCTGATTTTATTACTCGGGAAAAGTATTGGGGCGTCGAATTTTTTTGACGTTAAATGGACGAATGCTGTACGTGTTTAACATTGTCACAAGGTATGCTGAGTTCATTTGTAAGCAGCAATATTCTGAGTGGTATAATTATTCTTTGAAGATAGATTTTATAAAAAAACTAATTTTTATGAAATGACTAGATGCAGTGATCGCGATTTAACCACATCCTTGCGTGAAATTAAAGCGTGAGAAGTTATAACTGAAGACGAGTGGTCTAATTCCTCTGATCACGAACTGTTTCTTTTTCCTTTTTTTTTTTCATGCGTAAGTGCAAAACGTACAGCACCAAAGGATTGGCAATAAAATGTTTACAAAAGTAGTGAACATTATCTGAGGAAGACTGCATGTAACTTGTCAGCTGGAATGTAACTAATATCTTATCATTTATATTCCAGTCAGCGACACGCCAAAAAAAAATTTTTTTTTTTGAATAATAAACGTTGAAATGGCATGTCAGGACATTACAAAAAAATTGTTTCACTATAGAGGTGCGTACATTTTTTTATAAAAAATCGAAATACGAGGCCCAATTCAAAGTTCCCGCCAGTACACTGACGTAACAGTGTACAGCACGGTGTCGGGCGGTCAGAAGGGAGGCATCGCCGGAAGTCACGTGAGTTGTATCCCTCCTCGTGCTTACCGCGAGCGCGTGTAATATTTTTTACACATTTTTGTTATTCTCCGCACTTCCACGAGCGATCCAAGCAGACAAGGTTTCTTTTATTTGCTTTTCATCGCTTAAAGTTGCTGTAAAGGTAGAAGAAGAGGAGTCAGTGAATTGACGTGATCAACTGCAATGCCTAGAAGGTGCTGTGTGAGGGACTGTCCCGGTATTTCAGCAACTGAAGAAAAGATCACACTGCGTGCATTTCCGAGAGACGGCAGGCATCTTCAGCCTGGAGGGTATACGATGATTCGACGACCTCGGTGTCCGAACCTTCAGCAATGCAATTGGGCGTGTCGTACGCTAGCAATCCTAATTTCTGCGAGCGTTCTAAATTTTTTTTTTTTCAAAACTTGATAGCTTTTTTTGTGCCCAGTATAGCTCTGTATCATCGGACTGACGGCATGCGCTCGTACACTGGCTTGTACTCGGAACGCTTTCATCATAGACCTCCATCACGTAGATCCACCGACTCTTCGTCCTCAACTTTTACAGCGCGCAAACTAACCAACGGTGCAGCGATAAAGAGCTAGTGGAACTGAAACTTCGTTTCCTACATTCGCTCGTACAAGGAGCATAAAAAAAAGTCTTAGGCACGGTCGCGGAGAGCACGAGGAGTGAAACTCACGTCACTTCCTGCGAACCCACCTTTACTGACATAGGACGATGCCTCCCTTCTGACAGCCCCGACACCTTGCGGTACACTGTTACGTCACAGTACACTGGCGGGAACTTTAAATTGGGCCTCGTATTTCTATTTTTTATAAAAAAACTACGCAACTCTATGGTGAAACAATTTTTTTGTAATGTCCTGACGCCATATCAACGCATAACATGAAAAAAAAATTCTTTTCGCGTGTCAGAGGCTTTTTAAGGAAATGGCTACCTGACACTGCAACAAAAGCTTTAATAGGAGGAAACTTGTCTGCTTCATCACATGCTTCCGACAAATTGGGAAGATTTCTAACAAGCCAGTAATGTTATCATAAGAACTTAGTTGTAACTAGTTTGGTGCAGCATGTGTATTGCTTGTGCCTGCTTCAATATATTAGTCGCGCATTACATCAATATATTCGTGCTTGGCAGAAATGACAAAGCCCCAATCCAGTTTCTTATGCAAATCACAGTGTTCTATGAAAACTGAAAATAAATCTCTCCAGTTACAAGGAATAGTACTCCAGTGTCATCTGACAAGCCTACAAACTTCAACAAAAGGAATATGGACAGTATCACAATCGTATAAGTAGGTTTTCAGTTTAAATGTTAGTAGTTGGATGATCTTTATGCACTCCATTCAGCACTACAAAAAGAAATTGTAGATACGGCAATTCTCAGCTGAGAGAGTTGAGGAAGAAAGCTTCTTGGCTGTCCATTGGTTCTCATACAGCCGCGCCTGCGCATTTCGCATGCCGTTTTTTGCTCTCCCGACAATGTGACATGCACCAATCATACTGCATGTAGACCTCAATGTCGTACCACCACCAGAATAGTCGAGGAACAGCACACATAACACAGAATAATGTGTCATAACCCTACACCACATATAATTTAGATACGCACCAATACTCTTTCTTCGCTGTGTGCAATAAAGGGGTATTCACACGAGGGAGAAATCCCGGGGATTTCTCCCCGGCACGCGCATTCCACGACGAAAACGTTAGGCTTTGCGATGTGCAAAAGCCTCGCGTTTTCATCTCGTGATTCTCGCGTGCCGGGGAGAAATCCCCGGGATTTCTCCCTCGTGTGAATACCCCTTAAAGGGCTTCAGTTTTTTGGTTGCGTGACTCTCAGGATAAACAATTATAATGTTCATATCAAAATTGATCATCAGCAAGATATCACTAATGAAATAAAACACTGAGGTGCCTGTTATGTGATATAGGCTTTCACAGGTATAAAAGCGGAAAACTTATCGCTGAGTGGCAGTTGAATCGAAAGACTTGTGGCGAGCTTGCGCATGTCCAGTGGTTGTTGATTTAACTCTAAGAGTTTCCGCTTTCTTTTTCTTTGGCTTTACGTCAGCATCAAATAATTCGTCATTTAACCTGCGGGACAGATTCTTCACCAGAATGTTCTTGCTGCACCATAAAATATGCTTAAGCAACTGCTCGCCCGTGTGTACATTCTTACAGGCGTCAAAGTCCGAGCATTCGTTATTGGCTAGAAGTTCAACAGTGAGCTCTGTTGCCACCTGCCGCTGGTTCGGCATCTCCAAAAACTGGCTGCTTCGACAGTTGGACAACAACAACATAGTTGTTTGCCACGGCATTTACAACAAACATTGTCGGATGGATGAGTCCTCCCCTGTCAAGTTATCTTACAAGGTCGTAGTGCTGCTGCATGACTGAAACCGTGATTCTCTTGTGTATTGTCAATGCAGCCCTGCATTTCGCACAATTAAGCTCTTTCAAAGTTGCATACAGAGCGTATCTTGGCACGTAGACAGAGACCGGGATGGTGCCGTTTATCTGTGACAGCGCTCCCTCAGTTACTTCGACGTCGCAAATGGGGCGTGGGGCAACCGTGTGTTTGAAGATATCTTCCCGTTGCTCATCTCTTTCCCCGACACATCTAGACACTGTGGCGATCTTTGACAGAGTGATTTGCAGCCGCTGTTCATGCTCAGCTTCATAAACTTGCCTTATAGACACATGATATTGGGATCCAACCAGCCGTCTGTACTTTTCAAAGCGGTCCTTCAAGCTGTCCGTTTGGGTCTTCCCCAAGAGAACGTAGGAGAGCTGCAGTTCTTCGAAGCAATACCTGGCGACCTCCAAGGGTTCATAAGTCGTCTGGTGGAGAGCGGCATGGGTCTCCGGGGTTAGCTTGACTCCGGTAAAACCCCTACTCTTCCACTCGTTAAGCCAGTCAAGAAGGTTGCACAGAAAATCCACCTTGAGATCATCCATCGAAGGAAGGAGGGTTTTTTTAAAATCATCCCTTTTAGCCATTCCTTTGCATGGTGTCTTGACATTCATAATCTTCCACCATTTCACTATGATTTCGATGAAGCTCGCTGTTTCCTCACAGTATCAAAGACTTGTGTTTGATTTAAGGGCACGAAGGGCATCGGGCAAAGACTCGTGGAAGATCTACAGAGCAAGCTGCTCAATTTGCCAGAGCCTTCCTTGACAGAGTGTAGCCAAACACACTTGCTCACTTGCTCGCATTCCAAGTTGCGACCATCTCTGATGGTTTTAAAAGATGCACGCTGCATGAGCCGCTGCCGTGTCGGCTCAACCTCAAACTCTGGGTAATGGAAACAAACTTTGTCATCTTGTTGGTTGAGCCAATTGTTCCGGATACACTCCAGGATCTGCACCGGATCTATCCCCATCTATCACGATCTGTCACGGCGGGGTGTCGAATGTTGACATTCCGCTTCACATTAAAGAGTTTAGAAACCGCTTGAGGAATTACGGTGCAATCGAACGACCTGCGGATAGTCATGTTGGAACGCCGGTCTGAGCCGTAGCTCCTATCGTACAGTCGCCAAAATGACTGTCGTCTGCCTGTTGTCCCTACCCCGAGAGCTTATGCGCTCTGAGGAAAGGACTGCACCCTATGAAAATATAACGGAAATTACGTATATTTACAGTTTGGAATTTTAGCATTAAGGGAGGATGATAGGTAAAATTGACAAAAAGTTAACCTTTATTTTATTGTTTAAACATACTAAGACTCCCGAAGAAACTGCCCTAAAAGTGGCCCGCCGGAAAGAGCGCAAGAAGTTTTCGAACTCACCACGGCATAGTTCCGTATACTTAACACCTGCCGCAAGTCACGGCTCTGACTGCATTCTTGTTGATCAAAAAGTGATTTATTTGCCCGTGAAGCATCGCTTCCAGTTCAGTGAACACTTCCTCTACAAAGATTAATTCAAGACGACAATGGCAGCCGCATGTGAACAGCACAAATAGAAAAAAAATACTACAACAACAAAAAACTGGCTACGACGTGCCGTGCGGGGAAGCAAACACATTGCTTGGAACGTACCGCAGTGGAACGGCTTGTTTTATTGGTTTTCAAATATTTACGGCATCAGCGTTTACTTTCTACTGAGAGGTTTATCTTCTGAGCTGTTCAAGATACTCTCAGAGGGCAGACATTACTGAAAAAAATCAACATGCTGGGAATATTATTTATGGCTGAGGTGGACACCGAGAAAATTCGTACCTTCAATTTGACAAGAATAAAATGCTGAAACACAGAGCTCGCAAATAGTGATCGGGTAAGTGTGATGTTCGTATGCGCCGTGTATGTGTATGCGGTCAATGCATACAGGGCATACACACGCGTCAAATTACAGCCGCCATTGCTGACCTTCCGTGTCTTACCGAAATACCGGGCTTCTGAAACTGTCTTTTACGAGCTTCCACAAAAGCCAATGCTGGGGAGAAGGACCCAGTGGAATCTAAAGCGACAATAACCTGTCCAGCTGTGGTAACGATGAAGTCGAGTAAACGGAATTCGAGGAGACAAAAACTAAAGGTTGATTATGGCGGTGCCCATGCACAGCTGCTGCAAAGCGTCTATATGTTTAGCTGATGCTTGTAGTATCCGCAATGTGTCTGCATTTGTATAAAAAGGTGCCCGAAGGGCCTGAAGCGCAATGGTGGCGTGAGTAAATAAACGTTTTTTTTTTTTTTTTTGTAGAACATGATTTGAGCGGTATGTAGCGCCCCCTAGCCTAGACACTTGCAATTACTCTGCTTGACCCTGCCATCTGGTGGCAAGCGATTGAACCTTTTTTCATGCTTCGCGTTCATTTCGTGTAACAAAGCCAAGTAGGCCACTGCGAATTTGCTCCATTAAAGGGATACTTCAACGAAATTTGAAATATTACCGTCGTGTTCAAAAATAGGTTGAATATGATCCACAATATCCGTAAATGACAATCGCACGTTTGTATTTTGAGCCTGGTGGCTGCATTCTTAGTTATAAACGGCCCACTCTGGCAAGCGCTCGAAGAAGGCCCAGCGGAGACCACGTGACATCCAACGCAATCGTGACGTAGGTCGTCTCAGGACGAGCAAAGCTACGGCGAGGCTGACGTCGAGAGGATGGCCTAGTCGCTGCACCCACCGAAGCGACTGCTTTTGTACGAGTTTTGAGTGACGGGTTAATCTTCTATAATCTTGTACGGGGACAATAGCGACTTCTGCGACACACAAAAGGCATTCTCGGGAAAAGGGGAGTTCCTTCTGCCCTCTTCTCTCGTCGTGGCTGGAGGCAAGACAACCTCCGTCACTAGCTGTCAAGGTTCCTTGACGGGCATTATAAGCGAGGCGTTAGCGACATCCACCAGGTGCTCTTTGCTAATCGTTTAATTCGTTCTAAAATTCCTTTTTGTGACTTTTTTAATAAGATATTGTATGTTCGATGTGATGCTGCTCTTTTGAACACATATAGACCAAATAACGAGCGCGAATGCTTTACCACATCTCCGGGATGTGCGGTTCACGAAGGAATTGTGGCTCGAGGAATAGCGAAGGTAAGACGTAAAGTGTGCGAAGTAACTGGGTATCGGTTGCTTCACTGATCTCTATGAAAATTGCTGGATCGCGGATCCGGCATCCGCGAGTGAAGCCACCGGACGGCCATCTTGCTCGTAGACGAATTCCGGTTTTGCTAGAGTTGCAGAGGCTGGCGGCAGCGTGCTGAAGACACATTTTCTACTCGTGCGTCGTCATTCGCCGAAGTAGTTTGTTAAGACCCTGTGTAAGCGCTGAGACTTGTCGTTGAGAACCAGTAAACAAATTTACAAAAGCGCAGTACCACTGAAAAAAGGCAGAACTCATAGAAAGCAAGTTTCGCCGGTTTCGCGGCATGATAAAATCTCCCTTGGCACGCCCAAATGCTCCGTTTCTGCGCCTTTACACGCTTGCATACTGATCAAGAACCGACACCGTGTGGATGTTTTTTGTGAGTGCAATGTGCGTGAAGCCGTATGTAAAGGCACGACTCGTCGAAAGCATGTGTCTCCGGTTTCGCCGCCTAATCAAAGCTCCCTTGGCACGCCGAAGTGCTGCGTCTTTGTGACTTCGCACGCCTGGATGCCGATCAAGAATCGGCGCCGCGGAAAAGTTTTGAAGGTATGTCGCGCGTAGATGTCTTTGCATCCTATATCGGCCGCGGAGTTTTGAATCAACCCGTTGTTCCGGCGATTTGTTATCCATAAAGGGGGGATAACAACATGTACGGTTGCTCTTATGCACTATTAACCATGGCTATGTTACAAATATACTCTAATGGATCACATGGCAGCACAAATAGAGCAACGCTGTGGAGCAAGCATGGTTTTCGAAGGCAAAAGTAGAACACGGCGAGATTGGAAATCTTTGAGGTGCGGCCCATATGGTCATGTGCAATCGGTTGACCAATCACAATTAGGCGAGCCGCGCTCAAACTTGATGTCACGTGCAGTTGTTGATAATGAGCCAGACCACTGATCAGTGATGAGGTGTGTGCGCAGTATTTTGTAAACCGTCTAACGACTTAGAAAAACACCTACCTCCCCCCCCCCCCCCCCCCCCCCCCATCCTTCCGTCGCCACTGAACACTGGGTCAAGCTCATTTCTGGTCTGCGAGAGCCGCAAGTTACAAATACTGTCGTCAGACTAAAGTAAAAAGTTGCTCCAGAGGCATAGACGGCCTCACGCAAATTTCACTCGCAAAACACATCCACACGGCGTCGATTCTTGATTGGTATCAAAGCGTGCGAAGGCACAGAGACGCAGCACTTCTGCTTGCCAAGGAAGCTTTGATGACACCACGAGACCGGCGAAACTTGCTTTCGGCGAGTTGTGCCTTTTCCCTGCAGCATGTGCTTTCGTAAAACTTTCCACGTGTTCTCAACGGCAAGTCTCACGTGTTCTCAACGGCAAGTTTATGTGTTGTCAACGGCAAGAGTGACGACGCACGAGTAGAAAACGTGTCTTCAGCACGTTTTCTACTCGTGCGTCAGCCAGCTTCTTCAACGCTAGCAAAACCGCAATTTCTCTATGAGCAAGATGGCCATCCGGGGGCTTCACTCGCACTGCAGCGACCAAGTGGGAAAGCGCGATCCAGCAACTGCCGTAGAGATCAGGGGCGGCCTCCGTTCAACATCTTCTGACGACGAGAAGACTGAGTGACTGCTCTCGAAACGCCCAGTTTCTTTACCTGAAGGAGGATGCTGGCTTCGCAAATAAATACAGTTCGCGGAACGCTCATGTTATGCTTTTTATTTTCTGCTCCTCTCGCCTCGTAAAATAGACGTAGCGTCCTCGCTAAGCCTTATTGAGCTCGATTTGCTCGATTCGGGTCCGACATAATGCGAAGCAGGTGACGGAGAAACATTGCTCCCCTGCTTTCCGGACAAAACTTTCTCCCTTTCTAAAAAATCATAAGTTACAAGAGCGTTCCTCCCTTTACGGAGCACTATGGAGACCCTTTTCTTAAGAGTGTATTGGCATCGTACCATTGTATCGCTTTCTGTCGCCTTTTTATGTCCCTTGCTACTTATGCTCGGAAAGGAATCGCCAAAAAGGACGAAATTTGCGTAAATAGATGCCGGCAATGTTGGTTGTACTATATATACAGCGCCCTCTATAAGTGGCGGCAGAAGGAATAAAAGGCCAGGGGTGCAGGCGTATGCATGCGCACAGGCTTACTCGACATATATGTGACCTCGCGGGCAAAGCATTGACCAGATCTCTCCTGTTGACCTAATAATTGCGATTTGTTCCTAAGAAACCGGTGTATGTCGTTCTTTCGTAAAAGAAGTTACCATCTGGAGACCTAGAGGCGAACGGTCGACTCCGAGGGACGGCCGACGACAACTTGGGAGAGACACGACGGCGCATGCGCGGTTAATCGCCGCCTCATGTCATTTCACCCGCTGCGTCTCCTGCAAGGGCGACGATCTCTTCTCCCGCAATACTTGCAGTAAACACTTTGAGTTTGTCGCGACACTCTGCTCTGCAAGCGGAGGATTTACAGTTACTCTTGTCGCAGGGAAACGCGGACGCGTGAGCCTTTCCCGAGTGTGTGTGTGTGTGAAGCGCAGGTGCTGAGGGACGCCCTGCTGGAGAACCAGACTGCAGAAGCGTTCGAGGCGGTGTGCCGTTCCAAGGTGGCCGGCACCCTGCACCTGGATGCGGCGTCCCGGGAGTTGTGTCCCCAGCTGGACCACTTCGTAGCCTTTTCGTCGGTGTCGTGCGGCCGGGGCAACAAGGGACAGACCAACTACGGCTACGCCAACTCGGTCATGGAGCGCGTCTGCGAGAGGAGGGTGGCCGACGGACTGCCCGGTGGGTGTCTCTAGCTCTGGGTCAAGGCGTCTCGGACTTTGCGATCCCGAGGAACTAGGGTTGTGCGAATATTCAATTAGTGGTTTCAATTAAAACTAGTTTCTGATTCGCCTCGAGGTGAACCGCAATATTCATACTTACCGAAATATTGATTGTGGCGACTCCGCTGTTATTGCTTCGCCGCGGAGCACAGGTACTCGTTCAGAAGTGCACTCAACGGGGCTAACCCGCGGCGATAAACGCTTCAAAAAGTATAAATATCGCAGTTCACCTCGAGGCGAATATCGAATGGTGTGTCATTCGAAACTACTATTAGGAAATTTGAACATTCGCACAACAGTATTTGAATATGACAGCTGAGTAACTCCTCCTAAACTCGGCGGTGATGCGATAAAGCGGTTGAGAAGCCCACAAATAATAACATAAACAGTAATATGTACACACTAGAGACTGTCTGGTTCATGAGTGTGCATCATTGGATGGCTAAAATTTTCCGAAGTAGCGCTTACATTTCTGCTAAACTGTGGCTTAGAGGAAGAGCGGTCAGGGAATTGGTTTGGGGAACTAGGATTGTGCGAATATTCAATTAGGGGTTTGAATTAAAATCTCTCTGTGGAGCCCCAGAGTTCCTAGGGACCAATAGTCTCTGGGACATGGTGTAAAATACTCTTATGTACATCTATCGAAGATACCATGTTGTGCTTGCAATCTTCTCAAAATTGCAGCTAGTTTGACCGTCTCCTTTAAACATTTTATTGTGCACTGCTGCCCCAATGGTGGACACGTCGCTCTTCACGATGGCCGGAACTGCCGGAATCGCACCAAAGATGTCTTTCCTGGCACGAAGCATTATGTTAATGTCCTTTGTAAATTTCATCGTGCTACACTTGTTCAGAGATATCTCACTGACAAAAGTCCCAGCCACGGTGTAAAATACTACTTCCGCCGGGCTGCGTGAGGACACATTGCCCGGCGAATGCTTCGACGTGATCGACTGCATAGAGTCGTGTTGCCATGTGCCCGAATAGCCAATACCAAGATCGTCAATGTTGGCCTAACGGCGCAACTGAGTAAAAAAAAAGTGTTCTGTTGCCATGGCACCCGGGTGCAAGCACTTTCTGCTTGGTGCATCTGCTCCGATCTCAAAGAACCCTGGCTCGAGCGCTGCGTCAAAAATCTCTCCACTTCAATTCGTTGCTCTTGCTGCCGTTAATTGAGGCACAAAACTAGGGTCAACAGTGAATTTTAGAAGAATGTACTCAATTATAATGCACACTTGCCCTAAATTTATCACGTGTGGCGTCCACACGCGCGGTACCGACACCTCTATATCTGGGCCCTTGGTCCTGGCACACCTTGAACGATTCTTGTACATACCTGAAGCAGAGTAGCGATGTGGGCGAGTTGGTTCATGCTTAGAAATAATGGAAACAGCGCGCAAACGACAAGGACGGGAGGAAAAGGAGTACACAGGACGAGCGCTCGTCCTGTGTACCCCTTTTCCTCCCGTCCTTGTCGTTTGCGCGCTGTTTCCATTATTTCTAATACCTGAAGCGCAAGATGCGCGAAGCCGGAAATCTCTGCCGATACAGTGGAGCAATCTAGTGAGTTGGAGGTGAAACTCGCGGAAGCTGGACGCGAGGCCGGACAGCCCCCGTTGACCCCTCTCGTCCCCACAGGCCTGGCCATCCAGTGGGGCGCCATCGGCGACGTGGGCGTCCTGCGGGAGACGATGGGGGCGGACGTGGTGGTAGGCGGCACGGTGCCCCAGCGCATCGGCTCGTGCCTGACGGTGCTGGACCGCTTCCTGCGCCAAGGCCACCCTGTGGTCTCGAGCCTGGTCAAGGCCGACCTCTTTTCCGGGGCCAAGACCAAGGACAAGCACGACCTCGTCCAGACCGTAGCCCACATTTTCGGTAAGTCCTCCCCCTCGTGATCATCGTAGGAGGTGCCGAGGCTCGTTCACACGGTTGCGCTTACACAAAGGGGCGGTGCAACAATGTACTCTAGAAAAACGTCATTTAGAATTACTACCTTGCGGTTATAACATATGAAACACTCGTGCGCTTTTAATGGGAAAGCTTTATATTTCCCATTACGGTAAAAGGCGGCGTCGGCGTTGTGCCCGAAAGATGGCCATAAAAATAAGTCATCAAGCACGCGCCACTCAAGGTCAAAGCGGACGCGCCTCAGAAATAAAACATACCAAAAAATGAAAGATAACTCCCTGTAATGCCGAATTAGAGCGCAGCTCTTGAGGGGAAGGAGGGGAGGGGACGGAGGAGATGGCATGCCCCTCCTCCTCATCCTACCTACTCCTCCCGTGCTCCTCGCCTCCTTCCCCTCTTCCACCTTCTCCCTCGCCCTCCTCTCTCCTCCTCCTCCCCATCCTTCTACATCCTCCTCCTCCCCTCCTCCTCCCCTGCACCCTCCTTATTCCTCCCGTGCGGTGCATTATGGGAAATGTCCCATAATACAACGCGCGTGTCACAGCAGTGCATTATGGGACGTTTCCCATAATGCGCCGCACGGTTACGCCGACGCCGACGCCGCTCAAGCCGGAAACGGGCGCCTAAGAGCTGCTCTAAAAAAGTGAAAGCTGCTTACAACTCCCTGTAACGCCGAATTAGAGCGCAGCTCTTGAGGAGGAGGAGGGAAGGGCACTGGGGGGGGGTTAAACTAACCAGGGGGGGTCACGTGACCTTGGGGGTCACGTGACCTTGGGGGTCACGTGACCCCCAATGCCGATGATGTCATCACTGACGTCATCAGTAACGATGACGATGCGGGTACCGATGACGTCATTAGTGACGTCACTGAAGACTTCACCAGTGATGATGACGATGACGATGCGAATGTCGGTGACGTCATCAGTGACGTCGCTGATGACGTCATCAGTGATGATTACGATGACGATGCGGATGTCGGTAACGTCATCAGCGATGATGACGATGACGATGCGGATGCCGGTGACGTCATCAGTGATGATGACGATGACGATGCGGATGCCGGTGACGTCATCAGTGAAGATGACGATGTGGATGCCGGTGACGACATCAGTGACGTCACTGATGACGTCATCAGTGATGATGACGATGACGATGCGGATGTCGGTAGCGTCATCAGTGATGATGACGATGACGATGCGGATGCCTGTGACGTCATCAGTGATGATGACGATGGCGATGTGGATGCCGGTGACGTCATCAGTGATGATGACGATGTGGATGCCGGTGACGTCATCAGTGATGATGACGATGACGATGTGGATGTCGGTGACGTCATCAGTCACGATGACGTCATTGGGGGGTCACGCGACATCGGCGGGGGTCACGTGACCTAAGGGGAGTCACGTGACTTCGGGGGGTCACGTGACCTCGGGGGGGGGTCACGTGCCCCCCACGAGGTCACGTGGCCCCGGTGGGGGGGCTCGCGCGGTGCATTATGGGACATTTCCCATTATGCACCGGGGTCACGTGACCTCGGGGGGGTCACGTGCCCCCCACGAGGTCACGTGACCCCGGTGGGGGGCTGGCGCGGTGCATTATGGGACATTTCCCATGATGCACTGTTGCTCGGGGATACGTGACCTGGGGGTCACGTGATCTTGTGGGGGTCACCTCAAGGTCACGTGACCCCCAAGGTGACCCCCACGTGACCTCAGGGGGTCACGTGACCTTGGAGGTCAAGTGACCTGGGGGTCACGTGGGGGTCACCTTGGGGTCACGTGACCTTGAGATGACCTTGAGAGGGGTCACGTGACCTCGGGGGTCACGTAACCTTGGGGAGGAGACCACGTGACCTCGGGGGTCACGTGACCTTGGGGTCACGTGACCTTCAAAGGGTCACGTGGGGTCATCTTGGGGTCACGTGACCTTGAGATGACCTTGGGAGGGGTCACGTGACCTTAGGGGTCACGTGATCCCAAGATGACCCCACGTGACCTTGAGATGACCTTGAGAAGGGTCACGTGACCTTGGGGGTCACGTGACCTTGGCATGACCTTGGTTACGCCGACGCCGACGCCGTCGGCGACGCCGACGCCGCTCAAGCCGGGAACGGGCCCCTAAGAGCTGCGCTCTAAAATGCAGAGCAACGCAGGTGCTTCGTCGCGGAAGCCGTGGAGCCGGCGGGGGCGCCGCGCCTGCGCAGTGGGGGTGCGCGATGTCACCGCCGGAGCGCCGTGTGCAGAAGGAAGACGTGGAGCGCTCCCTCGGGCGTGTCAGTTGCGCCTCGGACTTGATCTGTGCTCATGGTTGGGTTTTGTGCGAAGGACTGTGAGGCGACCGCGTCTACATCTACGGCCTCCATATCGGCAGCAGCTTCTACATATACGGCTGCTTCCGCCGTAGATGTAGATGCTGCTCCGTACCCTCCCCTCCTCGTTCTCGAGAGCTATGCTTTTGGGAAGAAGGAGGGGAGGGTATGGGCCCCTCCTCTTCCGCCATACCCTCTTCTCCTCCCCTCCTCCTTCTCTCCTCTCCACCTTCCTTTCCTTCCTTCTCCTCCGCCTTCCCTCGTCCTCATCTTCCCTCCTTTTCCTCCTTCCCTCATCTTCCTCCTTTTCTAGCCTCCTTCTCTTCTCCTCTTCCTTTTCTCCTAGTCCTTTGTACCTTTCCTCCTTCTCGTCCACCTCCCCCATACCTTCCCCTCCTCCTGCGTACCCTCCCATCCTCCTCCTTTGTACCCTCGTCCTCCTCCATACCCTCCCCTCCTCCCACAGTTTCCCCGCTAAATTTAGCTAAAATATTAGGGAGTTTTAGTAGACCGCCGCCGCAGCCCCTTGAGCACCGGGATAGCGCTCCGTAATCCGCCACAAGACCATGAACTATGCACACAAGGCTGGCGGCGCGCATGCGCAGCTGCGGCGTTTTCTTTATGGATGCCGTAGCGGAGGAGAAATCGATCTACTACAACTCCCTATGGACGCCACCTGACCTCAACACCACTTCAGTTTCCCGCTATATTTAGTGGGGAAAATACGTCACATGACTTGGTATCACGTCACCTAGGAACAAATTCAGTTTCGCCGCTAGATTTAGCTCGCAAATTGACGTCACGTGACCTCAACAGCAATTCGATTCCCCGCTAAATTTAGCTGGGAACTGAATTGGTGTTGAGTTCACGTGGCGTCAGTTTTCACCCTAAAGTTAGCGCGGTTACTCCGAAGGCGACGCCGACGCCGCGAAACACGGAAACGGGCGCCTAAGCGCAGCGCCCTAAACAGTTATAAGAAACACGAACAGCATTTTTTCTCTCAATTCGCAGCCAGAACAAGCAGCCATGTGATCTGGAGCCGATTATATGCCGCCGATGTTTCTTATAGACATACGTTGTTAGGGGTTCGGCTATTGTCGTCATTGCAGCGATTGGACACGAGCCACTATCCGGAAGCTCGTCAAGTTATTGATTATCGTCAGCCCAAATCGAGTGGTCGTGCCATGATCAGGTCCAAAGTACGAGCCGCATTCAAATTTTGCCACTGGGGACTATGACAATACTGCGACCTCTAAACTACGTCGTGAAGTTTTGCGAAGAGATTGAAAGAAAACGCTCGTTTTAGAGCGCAGCTCTTGAGCACCCGTTTCCGCGTTGAGCGGCATCGGCTTCGGCGTCGCCGTTGGCGTCGGTGTAACCGCGCATGTTGCGTTATTGGATGTCACAGACTCGGCTAAATTTAGCGGGGAAACTGAATTGGTGTTGAGGTCATGTGGCTACAGTTTTGCCTTTAAATTTAGCGGGGAAACTGAATGCGCAGTGTTGCATTATCAAATGTCACAAACCTACACACCAATTCAGTTTCTCCGCTAAATTTAGCGTGGAATTGAAATGGCGTTAAGGTCACGTGACGTCAATCCTCTCGCCTAATCTAGCGGAGAAACTGAATTTATTCATAGGTGACGTGACACGGTGTCGTGTGACGCCTTTATCCACGCTAAACTTAGCGGGGAAATTAAATTTTTGAGGTCACGTGGCGTCAATTTTCCAGTTGAAGTTAGCGGGGAAGCTGTGGGAGGAGGGTAGGGTAGGGAGGAGGAGGAGAGGGTACACAGGAGGGGGAGGGTACGAATAGGGAGGTGATGGTCACTGATCTCAATGACAATTGCTGGATCGCGCTTGCCGCTCCCGCAAGTGAAGCCAGCGGACCCAACCCCGCTGGGATACGATTTCCCGTTTTGCTAGCCTTTTGCTGCGGTTTTCCAGCGTGCTGTAGACACGTTTTCTACTCGTTCGTCGTCATTCGCCGAGGAAGTTTTTGAGACTCTGTGTATTGTTGAGACTTCCCGTCGTGAACACGTGGAAAATTTTACGAAAGCGCAGTGTCGCCGGAAAAAGGCACAACTCGTCGAAAGCAAGGGTCTGGCGGCGTGTTCAAAGCTTCCTTGGCACGCCAGAGTGCCGTGTCTCTGTGCCTTCACGCGCTTGGATACCGATCAAGAATCGACGCCGTGTGGATGTGTTTTGCGAGTGCAATGTGCGTGAAGCCGTATCAAAACGTACAACTCGTCGAAAACAAGTGTCGCCGGTGTCGCGGCGTGATCAAAGCTTCCTTGGCACGCCGAGTGATGCATCTTTGTGCCTTCGCACGCTTGGATACCGGTCAAGTATTGACGCCGCGCTAAAGTTCTGAACGTGTGTCGCGCGTAGATGCCTTTAGATCATTTATATATATCGGACACGGAGTTCTGGATCGTCCAGCTGTTCCGGTGAGTTGCTATCAATAAAAGGGGGAGATCCGTACGTGTTCTTATGTACTATATTAACCATGGCTATCTCCCAAATCTACTCTAATAGATTCCGTGGGAGCACGAATAGGGCAACGTTCTAGAGCCAGGGGGGTTTTCGAAAGCAAAAGTACAAGACGGCGAGAATGAAAATCTTTGAAGCGCGGCCGATATGGTTGTGTGCAATCTGTTGACCAATTACAATTAGGCGAGCCGCGCCCAAACGTCAAGTGCAATTAAGTAGGTTGATAATAAGCCAGCACTGATCAGTGATAAGGAGCTGTTGTGCACGGTACTGTGTAAATCGTCTAAAGACGAAAAAAAGACGCACCTTGTCCCCATCTTCCGTCGCTAGTGGACGCTGGATTAAGCTCGTTCCTAAACCGCGAGGGGAAAAGACGCTGATCCAGAGGCACGAACAGCTACACGCACATTGCACTCGCTAAACACATACACACGGCGTCGGTTCTTGGTCGGTATCCAAGCGCGCGAAGGCACAGAGACACGGCACTTCGGCGTGCCAAGGAAGCTTTGAACACGCCGCCAGCCCTTCCTTTCGACGCGTTGTGCCTTTTTCCTGCGACACTGCACTTTCGTAAAATTTTCCACGTGTTCACAACGGCAAGTCTGAACAATACACAGAGTCTTCAAAAAACTTCTTCAGCGAATGACGACGAACGAGTAGAAAACGTGTCTACAGCACGCTGGAAAACCGCAGCAAAGGCTAGCAAAAACGGCAAATCGTATCCCAAGCGAGTGAAGTCCGGTGGCTTCACTTGCGCTGCAGCGAAGAAGCGGGGAAGCGCGATCCAGCAATTGTCATAGAGATCAGTGGTGATGGTACTCAGGAGGAGGATGGGAGCGTACAGAGGAGGAGGAGGGGAGGGTACGTAGGGGGAGGAGAGGGTATGGAGGAGGACGGGACAATACGGAAGAGGAAGAGGGGAATACACGGAGGAGGATCCTAAGGAGGAAGAGGGCCCGGAAGAGTAGGAGGGTGCAGAACCACTATGTGAGGAGAGTGATCTATATCTGTACATATATATATATTTCTTTCTGAAATTGTTTAACACAGTATCTCGCCAAATGCAAAATACCTTGAGCTGCACTATATTTCGAATTAGAGATTTTTAAACGACTTTAATTTTTTATTCGTGAAATTACACCGCAACAAAAGGTTTCTTGGTCAACGGTGTTGTGTGCGCTCATATACTTGGGTATTTTTAGTGCAAGTATGCTCGTGTAAAGCAAAACACATTTCAAGCGAACATCATTTCAGGGCTTCCTTAAGGCCGACTGCATTACGACCAACCGCGTTATCTTAACGGAGAGTGCGCTGCCACACAGGTGCCGTCAATGAGGGGATCCTAAAGCTGCATTTCACTAGAGCGTAGGTTTCCCGATATTTGCGATGGATAGTATATACTAACCATGAGAACTGCTAGGTTATAACATTATCGAAAATTTATCGAGCCAAGAAAGAAAGAACGATGCGTGAAAAGGAAGGAAATTTACGAAAATGCGAAGCTCTCCACTCCCTCGTAAGCAATTCGAAGTGCGCGAACCAGCCAAGCGTTGCTCTAGGCCGCGTAGTGGTGCTCTCGGAACGAGTTCTGTGGGGTGACTCGCGGGCTTGTCATGGCGGCGACCTGAGGTGGCGCTCCCTGGCTGCAGGTGTAAAAGACCCCTCGAGCCTGAACCCCTCCCTGACCTTGGGGGAGCTGGGCATGGACTCCCTGATGGGCGTCGAGGTGATGCAGACCATCGAGAGGGACTACGACCTCAACCTGTCCATGCAGGAGATTCGGCAGCTCAGCATCGGACAACTCAAGGAGATCGGCAGAGGGGCAGCGGCCAGAGGCTCCGCCGCTCCCCGGGGGGCAGGTGGGCCTTCCCTCTTTCGCGGAACGCGGAGTAGTTTTGTTTAGCCGTTGACTTGGTTTATTTTTGTGCCTGTGGTACTCAGTTGTTTGACGGTGGACTGGGACGAATGACCTCTTGCGTCAGCTGGGCCATGAATGATGATCCACGGTCTCTAATAAGGACTTCAGGGGCGCCGTGCCAGAGGACGATGGACTCGATGAAAAACTTGGCGACTTCAACAGCCGTACCTAATGGAAGGAGCTTCGCCTCGGCGTACCGTGTGAGATAATCGGTCGCCATGATTATCCATCGGTTTCCTTGCGTCGATGGTGGGAACGGTCTAAGTAAATTTATTCCGACCTGCTGTGCTGTGGCAGATGGTGGCGCGATAGGCTGAAGCAGTCATACCGGTCTCAACGGTGGTCTCGTCCGTCGTTCACACTCGTGGCAAGATCGGGTGTAGTGATAGCATGTCTTCGGAAGCCTGGACAAGTGGTACTTCTGGCGTATCCTGACAGAGTCCTGCAGTAGCCAAGGTGTCCCCCCGTAGGATCATCGTGGCAGGCTTTAAGCATTTATTCCAGAATAAACAGCTACTGCGAGTTGTTTTCACTGAAGCTCTCCTTGTAGAGCGCACCTTCTCTAATGGAGAATGTTGGAAGTGTTCGTATGAAAACGCGGGTAACAGCACTTTCTTGTCCTTCTAGGTTCTCAATGAGACCTCGCAGTTTAGAATCCTCTCTGGGTACACGTCGTCGTCGGTAAAAATACGATGTTTCGCCACTAGTATTTGGCGAACTTTCAACGACGTGGTAAAATAGTCGCTGTATTCAGCGAGGAGATCAACCAGTTGCCGACGCTTTGGAGCTCGGTGCTCGGCGTTCGATGTCGAGATGCGGCGGCGACGTGCTCTTGTGTTGTGACGACGAGATTTTCTCTGAGATTGCGGTGACCACGGCTGGCGCCTGAAGCCCCTCGACGCTGTCCACGGTAGTACCCTTCGTTAGGTGCTGCGGCCAATGGCGTTTCGGAGGTCAGACGCCCCTAAGACGGTAGCCCGCCGCGACAAGCCCCCCCTCATCTCGCTCTCGAGGCCCACCGCACCCCCCTTCCCGCTCTCGTGGCCCGCCGCGCCCCCACCCCCCGCTCTCGTGGCCCGCCGCGGCACCCCCCTGAGCGCTGCACCCGGGGCGGTCCAACCCCATCTCCCCCCACCCGCCACCTCCTCCTTGTGACGCCACTGGCTGCGGCTCCTCTCAAACGTTCGCCACGAGAAAAGTTATTCGTCCTCCTTGGAAATCCGTTACGCCTCGTGCGACTCCAATTCCTTTTTCAATGAGCAGTTGGACGCTGCCTTCCAGAAGAGCTTCACCGCGCATGGCTGCGTCGGTTATGACGGTTACAAAAACACTCGTACGCGGTGGCAGGTTGACATGGTCGGCAATTACTCGGATCATGGTTGACGTTGTGTTGGTCACCACCGGCGGCAGAACAGGCTTTCGCAGCGTCGAATGGTTTCTCCTAGATCGATGACAGCGCCATATTCGCAGAGGAAGTCCATTCCGAGGTTAACGTCCCTCGCATAGTCTTGAAGAACGATGAAATTCACAGGCTCGTCTCACTGTGGATTTCGACGCGAGTAATGCATCTCCTGACTGGTGTAATGAGCTGCCCTCCGGCGTTTCGGAATTGACGTCCATCCCAAGTCGTCGTCACTCTCCGCAAGCAGCGAGAGAGCCTTTACTTAAGACTGAGTAGTCTGCTCCAGTATTACAGTTTAGGTTGTTGGGCACCATTGCAAGAGTGTCGCTGCGATGCGTGGCGTCGGGAGAGTGGCAGCGCTCCGGCGTTCTTGGGGGCTCTTTATTTCGGTCGTCTTCGGCAACGCCAACTCCAGGCGTCGCCAAACTCAGTTTCCCCGACGAGATAGAGGAGACAGGCTGTCAGTGCGCGACCGACGGAAAGGCGATGCGGAATGTGGGGGATGGACAACGGGAAACTCGTGGTGGTCTCGGCGCTGGTGACAGAGCTCGACGGAGGTATTCCTCGATGTCGCAAGGGCGTTTACAGTACCTTGGCCGGGCGTCGTTTGGCGCCAACTCTCGTAGGCCCATTTGTGTGGTATGGGCACCTCCGGTAGACGTGGGCAACCTCGCCGCAGTGGTAGCACAGAGGTCGTCGGTCAGCTGTGCGCCAGAGGTCGCTCTTTCTTGGCACTGCTTTTGGGGGCGGCTGTTCGGAACACCGTCTTCCTGGCGTCGGCTATACGGCGGCGTTTGGAACCCTCGACGAGGTGGCGACGAGTATTGGCGGGTAGCCATTGGCGGCCGTCGAGTCATTGAAGTGTAGGTTACCACCGGTTCTTCGGGCTCAGCGATGTCAACAGGAGCCTCCGTTTGAAAGGTTCGCTGCACTTCTTGGACGAGCTGAGTGACAGAGAGCGTAGCTGGTCGTTCTACTGCCGGCACCAGTTTGCTAAGCTCCTCGCGGACAATGTTTTTGACGATCTCACGGATCGCAGAGAGGTCAGAGCTGCCGGAACCGATCCTGCAATTCGACGGTGCAATCCCGGTAGTGCCGGTGAACCGCTGGTAATGGTTCGCCCTCGCGAGGAGCACCCTTTACAGGTTGGTTGCCTCTGAGACGAAGCTTTCCACTGTCGTCGGAGGACTGCGGGCAAGGCAGCCGAAAATCTCATCCCTGTCACCTCGCATGAGTACCCGCAGTTCATTTTCACCTGTGGTTTACCGTTCGGCGCGGGCGAACAGGTGGAGGACGTCATTAGCGAAGCTGGTGACGCTGTCCTTGAATGCCTGGTTCCTCTCTTGAAGCAGTTCTTTGGCCCGCTCCCGTCGGGTGGCTCTTAGAAACTTCACACGTGGTCAAGGCGACTTCGTGATTTTTGTACCATTGCGGCGCTGTTCGTTCCAACGAGAAGTAGATGTTCTGGAGGCGTCGCTCATCAGTCCATTCGTTGTGGCGGGCCACCTGGTCGTACTGCTGCAGACAGTCCTCTACGTCCTCGTATATTTCACCGCAAAATGGCATCAGCGCACGGGGAAACACAGGCAAGAACACGTGGGACGACACTGCTCGAGGGTTTTCCGTCTGCTGGGCCGTGGAGCTGATCGTCGGCCTCGACACTTCTTTGTCTTTTCCGGCAGTGGTCGAAACTAAGGGCGTTGTCGTCGGAGACGCTGTTTTGCCGGGAGCCCTGTCTCTTCTACAAAAGTTCGACTTGGAGTGGGGCTTGCCGAACGGTTCGTCGTAGGGGTACGGTAAAGAAACATAGGGTGCGTACCCCCACCTCCACCAGAATGCCACGGGTGGTGAAACAAACAGATAGAAATGAACGTTTAAGGGGGCGAGCTTGTGCCCAGAACGAAAGTCGGAAAAGGCTGACGTCGTAGGGGTTGAACTCCCCGTAGCAGCAGGATTCAGCGCTGGCGAAGCCCTGACTGCGGCTCTCCACGCGGAGCCCGTTATGTACACGCGTGGGCATCCGAATCCGAAACAGTCGGCGTAGAAAGTTCTGTGCGTGTAACATTCGGAACTCGAATACGCAGCGCTGTTATCAAATTTTCTAGAACGCGACCATTATAGTAACAACAAAAAGGCGCGTCCGCTCCCAGGCATCGAACCTCGAGCCCTTTGCGTAGGAGCCAAGGACGATAATTATTCGTCCACGGGTGGGTCTGGTCAGAGACGCTCCCGGCAGTATTATTGAGAAGGCGCGGTAAATAGTTGAGAAGAAAACCAAACTCCGAAAGTACAACAACAGGAACCGCCAAACGGGTAATGGTAGAGCGCCGGTCACAGAGGGGCAGTGGAGAACACAAACGCCGCCGTTCGGCGTGTGAACGTGTTCGAAGGGGGAGCAGAGACGAAGGCGGCTATCTTGGAGTCTACCCAACAATCGTTCCAAGCAGGATTCAGCGCTCGGATATCCCAGCGTGCTCTCATCTCTGATCTCTCTGCTTTTGTCTGTATAACTAAAATAACGAAAAGAAAAAAAAAAGAAAAAACTTAAAAGTTTGCGGCTACCCCGAAAGATTCCCACGGAAACACGTTCTGCGTACACAGACTTTATCCCTCGGATGGAGATCAGTTTTGTTTTTAACACCCAGAGTGGCTATTCTTTTTTTTTACCTTTACTCTTTTCCGCACTTTGTTTGGGATCTCTAAATTCGGAACGTCACTGGAAGGCGGACTTGCAGGACGGGCGGGCAGTCTAGAAAAACGCGCACAGTGCACTTTTGTTCCGTGCTGCTGCGAGCTTCGAGAGCATTCATTTAACACCAAACGTTTTGTCCTCAGTTGTGAAGAAATTATACTATTCTTTCTGGTCATTTATGAGTAGGGCTCCGTGTTTTCGGATAAATCCCCAAATCTTCGAGAAACACCGCCGATAAAATTTTAATCAATTCGGATTCATCCGATAAACTCCAAATTTTGATATGCCAATGCCCCCCGCTCCCCCTTCCAATAAACTAAATAAAGATGGTATTTTATAATTAGGTTGATTAGCGCAAAGAGTCAATGGTCCCGGGAAAATGCCACCAGTTATTTTTCAAATCTCGGTTCATTGACAAAAAGGGGTCTTACCGATCATCTTGTCAAGGTTCAGAACGACATCTCATTGTGCATTCGGGTCACGACAAAAGCCCCTGTATTGGTTTTCAGTTTGGGCCATACTATTTGTGTTTTAAGAGGAAGAGAGGTTGTGTTTTTGTAACAGCTAAAGCTATATATGGATCCTAGAGATTGCATAAAATTGGAAGAGGGGCAGTTGAAACTTCCCTATTACATCCTTTACCACACCCCCTAGCGCAACCGCGGGTTAGCATGGAATATGATTGGATAAATACCTGCTTCCCAGCGACTACCTCCACGAGTTTAGTTTTAAGGTGTCGGCGTTTATCCAAGTTACGTATGTGTGCAACTTTTGCATTGGGACAAACTAGTATTGCCAATGGCAATGGCACCAACACCAAACGCAGCTGAAGAAATATTATTTGATA